CTGTATTCAGCCGGTGGCTGGTTTTTATGTGATATAATATCTCTATCGTTTCGGGAAAAAAAAAAAAAAAAAACTAGATATCTTCAAATTGCAAATTATTAAGTTCCATAACAATTTTTTATTTTTTTTTATTTTTTCTGTACCATATGTGCCATCGCCTTCTCTTCTCCAGTAACGTCTTATCAGCAAGTCCCGTCGTTTCATGGACCTGAAAGCAGGAAATTCGGTTATACACACTAGTAGTAATAGATTATATATTTATATATTTTGTATAAGTTCCTTTCAGAATTCACAATTCAGACCATGGAAGCCAATGGTTATACAGCTGAATGTGAATGATATCAGTATGACCATCCAGATGCTCAACCACAGTACCTTGTAGTAACAAAAATCCCATCTGAGAAAAAAAAGAAAAAAAGTTGTTAAAATGTTAAAAACCTCTCGAAAAGAATTGCTAATTTGTCTCTTTGGAAGTCTTAGACTGACTCTATTAAGTTCACATAAATGCCGATTTCATAGTTAGTTAGTTAGTTAGTTAGTTAGATTTGAACAAAATTGGAAATTCTTACTCGGTCCTTGATGGACCAATATCCATAACCGTACGAAAAACATCTTCCGAGCCTGCATTGATGACGCCAACTGCCATTATGGCTGGTGTATCCTCCCAATGCTGGAAAATATATTTTTTTTTTTTTTTTAAAAAAAAGAAAATAATGAAAGCGTCAAAAGAGAAAATAAATAAATAATATTCACACCCTTCCATTTGAGTCTCTGTCTTTGGCTTCTTTGAAAAGACGTAATCCTGAAAAGCAGCCACAATACGGATGTAAAACTTTAATCTCGGGCCAAAACACTTGCCAATATAGATGAGCCAAAAAACGAGTAATTATTACCATTTTCACAACCAAATATTTTCCACGGAGAAGGTGAGATTACATCAGATGTGATGACATCTACATGCGAAGAAGATGCTGCTGTCCAGTCGATAGACCTTTTTGCCATTCTTTTGGTAACAGTCAGGCTGTTTAAACAATAAAATGATACTAATTTTGCTTAAATAAATACATAATATGAAATATGTATGAAATGAAACTAACAATTCCATTGACTCCCAGAAATTAGTTACTTTTATCACTTAACCATAACCTCACTTAAATTTCATGAAGAAAAAAAAAATAAAAAAAAATTGGTAGCATAATATCCATATGCGAATCGTGAACACATTTGCCCAAGATTCATGCAAAACAAAGGACGCTCACCTAAAAGGCTGATATTTCCTTTTGGAACAAAAAAACATGTCCGTAACTGGCTTAACAGCAGCATCTTGTAAAGAACTAATCCACTTAGCTGCTTCTTCTGAGCTGGTTGCCCCAAGCTGTAAAAAAATTGAACATTTCCCATCTTAACTTAAACATTATTCTGCTGAATAATCAAAAAGAAGAGTGAAAAAAAAAATAAATAAATTAAGACGCATACCTTCAGCTGATCATTATGATTAGAAGTATTGCAGAGTGTGAAAATGAAGAAACACTGCAAATCACAACAAGAAAAAAAAAAAACGTAAGCATGGAAAAAGATGAATCTATTGCTCTTCTGCTCATATAAATACATATATGTGTGTGTGTGTGTGTGTAGAAGTGAATTTGGTAGCCACATACTTTCCTGTGATGGCTTTCTCTTCCATTGTCCACGACCCGAACACAAGAGTCTATTATTGCGCTTCGCACAGGTTCCTAAAGTAAGAATGGTCGATAAATGCCATAATAATTAAGAACTAAAGTAAAGTCTTGTTACAAAATGTACTGTATAGACCTCACTAACAAGTAGATGTGCGGTTTCAATTATATATATGAGAGATGCTTGTTAGTTAACTAAACCATTTACTATGTCTTTTCATATGATCCTTGCATGATCAAGACAGAGGTATAGTGAAAAAAGGGAAAAGTAATTACCCATGAATTAGGAATTTTTTTGCTATAGGTATATACTATGAAGCAGAGCAAGTAATATGGACAAGACAATGATCCTATCACCCGAAGAAAAGGAAGAAAAAAAAAAGCAAAAGGGAAATAAGAAACAGAAAAAAAAAAAAGAAAAAGAGAACAATGTCAGCAAAGAGAACATCAATAAGTCCAGTGAACTAAAAGTAGATCAACAAAGTGCAGCAATGCATAATGAAAATTCGTATGCCTATGCATGTAAAGAGTAATGAAAATTCTTGGATTGATAAAAATGATCCCCTGATTCCAAAAAAAGGAACCAGAGAATCAAAACGCAGAATTGCTAATAAATTCGCAGATTTCTGGCTAACTTGTTTCAAATATATATTCTGGTTTCTCTTTTAGTTGTCGTCTTTCCTTCAAAATGAGCTCTTGTTTGTTTATGGGAGGTCTGCAAGTCGTCAATTCCACAAAATGACAAAGTTGCCCTCACGTTTTATTTCATGGTATTTTAATATTTTGTTGGTTTGGGCATTTGGGGCCTGATTGACACCGGTTATGATTAATCAAATATTTTTTTTCTACGTATAAGTCAAACTAGTACAACACCCGTGTATTATTTGTTAAAAAAATATTCTTAAATTTTAAAATTAATGAAAAAAATTATTTTAAATTTTATTTATTTTTTTACAAAAAATATATATTTTATTATATATTTTAGAATGACACTTGTTACTTTGCGACTTACATGTGTTATATTATAGTAATTTTTATAACTTATATCATATAACTAATTGAAATATAAATATATGAATAGATAAATAATTTTATTTTTCTAATTAATATTAAAAAACAATTCTATTATTGTTATAAAGATAAATATAATTTGTTCTTTTTATACATACAATATGGATATTAAATCGAACCTCATCAAGAGATGATTAATTTGATATATATATATATATATATATATATATTATATATGTAAAACTGATAAAAGTACAAAAGTTATTAACTTTCAAAATATATTTACAATTCAATGGTTATAATAAGAAAATATGACCATAAATAATCAACATATTTATGGATGTCCGAACCTACTTATTTTTGGATTGGAAGTAAATTAAAATCTACCCAAGCCTAATAAACGAAGCATGTAATCTTGCCACATAGGATTTCGAAGCATGCGAGCCTGCCACTTAGGCTCATCATGTTCTGAATTAATATATCGGGGGGATTTAACTAAATTCAACTCTCTTCAATATTATCAATCTAATTATATAATATGAATAAATCATCGCTACACATTAAATCATTTTTATTTCACTATTTATTTACTCGCAATTTTAATACTCATCACCTCCAATCACATATCTCCTACTTTTATAATTGTAATGTTCATCACTGCAATCACATCGCTCATACTTCTATAATTTTAATGGTCATCTCTTTCAATCACATCTCTCATACTTTTAAATCACGTCAATATTTTTTTTTTTTTTTGGAAACGGCAAATATTATAACTCGAGAAAAATGTACAATGACGAAACCCAAAGGCTAACCTACTGTAAAGTAGACTCGGAGGGCAGCTAACCAAAGCTCCCTAAACTAAAGCAAAAGAACTGTAGTAGTGGTGTTTGCATCCCATAGAGACAAGAGAAACCGAACCAGGTGCTTGACCACTACCACAGCAGCACTGTAAGACTAAACCAGCTAGCACCTAGCAAAAGGAGAAACTGCCATAGATCCAAAGAGCCTAACAGATAAACCATCTAAGAACAGAATTACAGTAAGCCAACTAACACTTAAAAACACCAACAACAACCCAAAACTCCACAAGCCAGCTAACACTACAAACCAGCAAACCAAAGCCAACACAAACTAAAGCAACTAAAAGAAAGACAACAAAAGGAAAGTAGGAGATTATTAGAGCAGAATATCCCACATTCCAATATGATTGGATATTATTCTTCTTGTAAAGACAATTTATTAGAAATTATATTATTTTGGTCATTACTTTATTTTATGTCTCTGCATTTGTTAGATTTGTAAATATATATGATAAAGTCCTTAGATCATTAGTAGCTATGAGACATAGTTGCGCATTTGATGGCAATCATGGAACATGTCTCTAAAGCTATGATCTTAAATAAGTTCCAAGTCGAGGGTGTTTCAAGATAGGACATTGGATAACCCGGTAAGACTTGTGCATATGATGCATGCTCGTTGGACGAGGATGTTGCATTACATCAACATTAGCATGTGGGACATAAATCCATATATGCAGGTGCTTGTTGGTGAACAAATTCACTGAACATTTCCCTATGAAAATTCTTAGATGGAAGTTTTTAACTGTTGAATAAATTTTTCATGTTGCAATAATACATGATTGATCCTATGGCTTGAGGCACAATAGTAATCTTGTGCATGTTGTGTTTCTTACTTTGATTTATCATTTGATTGTTGAACAGTCATAATAGTATATCAATGTGTATGGAGGTTTATCTGCAACCAACATAGAATTCGATACTTATGTCGATAAATGAATTTCTAATATTTTTCGTAGTTTGCGATTCAAGGACCTTGTCAAAGCCGGGATGAATGTGAATTCATAAAGCAATTACTAAACTAGAAATTAAATCGTAGTTATTAAATCAATTGTTTTTCGACTTATAGTTCCATGCCTAGAGATTTAATTAAGAAATTAGTTGTCGAAAGAATTTTACTCGTATGCACTTGTAATTGTAAAAGTTTAATCGTTGTTTCACTTACCACTAGATAATATAGATGCGGTTCTTCCCTTCAATAAATAAAATAGAGATTAAAAGATCACACATAAATAATACTACGAGATACTAATATATACACTTACTATACTAAATAATGTAGTAACTAGATTTAAATTTAAATATATACACGAGTAAGAGAGTAGATCTTCCATTAGAAATGCATTACTTGCAAAGAAAATCATCAAGATGTTATTTATAGATTGGCAAAAATAAATTTTTCAAAATTTAAGTTGACCGTGGTTTGTTCATTGTTTACGTAAAGGTGAATTTTTTTGGCAGTAAAAACAAATAATAATAAAAAAAATGAACACGTGTCAAGCTTTTTAGGTAGGGCCGCCAGGATTGCATAGCTATGCTAAAGTGAACCAAACCAAGTGAACCAAACCTTGCTGGTGTTGATCTGAAGGTCGAGAATCCTAGCTTTATTAGGAAATTTCGCCCGATAAGCCTGTTGAACGTGATCTACAAGCAAGCTTTGTCCCGGGACGTCAAATCACAGACAATATCATTACTGCGCAAGAGCTCATTCATATGATGCGGGTGAAACGAGGGAGGACGGGCTTCATGGTCATTAAAGTGGACCTTGAAAAGGCCTATGACTACTTACGGTGGGACTATATAGACGAAACCCTTCGCCTAGCCGGGTATCCCGAGAAGCTCGTTCGTGCTATAATGGCTTGTCTTACCTCTGCCTCGATGAATTTATTGTGGAACGGGACAACTGGTGAGGAGTTTCTCCCCACTCGAGGCGTCCGTCAAGGGGATCCCATATCCCCCTATTTATTTGTCCTCTGCATGGAGCGTCTGGCTCAACGTATTTGTCAGGCGGTGGCGGGTTCCTCCTGGCGACCTATCTCGGTTGGTCGTAATGCGGTAAACGTTCCGTTCTTAATGTTTGCCGATGACCTTCTCCTCTTTTTGGAGGCCTCAGATGATTAGGTGGTTACTTTAAGGCAGGTACTCGATGATTTCTGCTCCCGGTCAGGACTTCGAGTTAGCCCGAACAAAACGCAAGTATTCTTTTCCCATAATGTTCCGTTGCCTGATAGACTTCGAGTTTCGACGGCACTCAACTTCCAACCAACGACTAATTTGGGGAAGTATCTCGGTATGCCAGTCCTCCACGACCGCATAACCAAAGACACCTATCACCATATTCTGGAAAAGACGGAGGCCCGATTAAATGGCTGGCGGATGAAATCGCTCTCTCTGGCCGGGAGGGTGACCCTTATGCAATCAGCTTTGAGCACCCTACCCTTCTACTCAATGCAAACGGCCATGCTACCGAGGGACACCACGGAAGGTATATCTAAGAAATGTCGAGCATTTGTATGGGGTGGCTCTGATGACCGATGTAAGATTCACTTAGTAGCTTAGAAGGAGGTGTGCAAGCATAAAATGGAAGGCGGTTTGGGTATCCAGAATCTCCACCGCATGAATGATGCTTTCTTGATGAAAGTTGGATGGGGCTTATTGAATAACCCGGATGCCCTTTGGGTGCGGGTAATGTCGGCTAAGTACGGATTGACATTATCGACCACTTTGGACTTGGGACATGGGAGGCAAGCATCGCATTTGATGCGTGCTGTTCGCCTCGTCTGGCCGCATGTGGTCAAAGGTATCCGGTGGATTTTGGGTAATGGAGAGAGTACGCGTTTCTGGCTCGACTCATGGTTAGACTCGAGTGGGCCGCTTGCGCGTTTTGTTGACCTTCTCTTGCACTCAGTTAATATTGATGCTGTAGTCGCTGACTTGGTAGATCCTAATGGAGGGTGGAGATGGGATTGTTTTCACGGCATTCTCCCCTCTTCTATCGTCCTTCGTATAGCTGGCACGTTGCCACCTCGAGCTGCTGCCGGAGAAGACCGACGGATCTGGGGCCTTTCTGCGAACGGTCAGTTCTCGACGAAGTCTGCTTATAACTCCCTCTCTCCCACTGTGCGCGACAACTCTCAACATTTGTAGACTGCCATATGCCGCTCACCGGCACCGCAACGAGCCCGCACTTTTCTGTGGCTCGCCGCCAAGGATCGCCTCCTCACCAACTTTGAACGAGCCCGACGGCATTTAACGGCATCTGCGGCTTGTGAGTTATGCGGGGAAATGGAAACGATATTGCACGTCCTTCGAGATTGCCCTCCTACCCGGGAGCTATGGCAGCCTCCTGCCGCCTGATCATGACGGAACTTTTTTCAGTCTGCCTCTAGACCAATGGATACGCAAGAACATTTCGACAGTGCGGTCGGGGCATGGGGAGAAGTGGAACAGTATTTTCGCAATTGGTGTTTGGCGTTCTTGGTTATGGCGTAATGGGAGGGTGTTTAAAACTAAACAGCTTGCTGTTGAGGTCCGCTGGCTGGAAATATTGCGGCTGACGAAAAGCTACTCTCGGGCGCTTGCGGACTACGTGCGAGTTGGTGCGGGTGTACATGTCACTCAGAACATTCGGTGGATCCCTCCAACGTCGGACTGGATTAAGATAATTTCGGATGGAGCCGTGGATATGGTCACAGGCACGAGTTGCGCTGGAGGTTTACTTCGGGACGAGGAAGGACGTTGGCTTGCGGGATTCCTATTTAATATCGTTTTTGCACAATAACAGGAGCTGAGTTGTGGGGCCTTTTCCAGGGTCTTTTATTGGCATGGGAGAAGGGGTACCGGAAAGTTGTGGCTGAGGTCGTCGATAGCCTCTGCGTCAAGAATATGGTGTGCGACTCCGAAGGCGACTTGGGACCTCATGCTGCAATGGTTAGAGCTATTCGAGATTTGATTCACCGGGCTTGGAGCGTCAATATCCAACACATATTTAGGGAAGCCAACTTTGCGGCCGATCATATGGCAAGCATGGCGGATGCTACCCGCTTGGTTTACATCGTTTGGTTTCTCCACCGGCCGGCCTAGGTTCTTGGCTCGTTCATGACATTAGTGGGGTGTCGTATCCCCGTAGAGTACTTGTTTAGGCCTTAGGCCTCTTTCTTTGCACCGAAAAAAAAAATAGAACTTCATACAAGTAAATGAAAAGTATACCTCTTTGTTTTTCTTTGCATACAACTTGAAAAGTTTAAAAAAATAAAAAATATCGAAGAGCACGAAGCATTTATTTGAACATCTATCCAACGAGATACAGCTACAAACTATCACTTGCCAAGAAATGAATCAATGCTCCTCAAAATTTAAAAATTGGCACTGATAACTCTAATTCTTTATCATATCATTTATATTTTGCATCAAATTTTCCGCCCTAACATCAACATTTTACGCATAAATGACGTTGCCATTGTATAATTATCAATTTCATAATAAAAATTAGATAAAATGAGAAGAATCTCACATAAACGCAGGCTTACCAGCAACACACGCGTATAAATACAAACGCACATTTCGAATGGTATAAGATCATCTTATGATAAGATTATATCAAGAAGTCAACTTATTTTCTTTAAAGATCACATACACGGAATTACGAAGACCTTCGAGCACAAATATTGGACCGTTATTGGAATGAAATTACATTTTTTTTTTTTTTTGTTTATAACTTGAGCTAACGTGGTAATAAAAAATAAGATTATTGTTAGACAGACTTAAACACCAATACTTTTTCTATAAATATTCCTACTTTAACTATAACTTAGCAATAAGTATTTTTCAAAAGTAGTTTGTGGGTAATAAGTAACTATAACTTGGCTTAGATATGTAAATTATGAACCATATATAAATTGTGACAAATAAATAAAATTTCGCTGATTAAATAACTTAGGAAATTTAATTTTCGGAAAGATTTTCTTACTTGAATTATGATTTCCCTTTTTAATGATTTGACCATAAACATATTTGACACCATTTAAATAGAGCTGAATGCATTTTTCTTTTTTTTTTATGTTGCATCATTTAAAAAGAAATATATATTTTATTTATTTACAAGATTAAATAAATATTTTGGTCTTTAAATTTTACTTGTAAAGGAACAAAAGACCTAGATAGCTATGCACACAGATGTCTACATTATATGCCTTTGGTAAATGGTTACGAGTAGCAGTAGGTTTTAAATGTATGGAAATGAAAACCAAGCCTCAAATCTCAAAGCAATATTCTTTTTTTTTCCTCAAAATTCCTTTACTCTTTTTGCATCAGTAGAGTGAGTAGTACTGACTCACCACCCCCTCTTAATCAACTCATAACTTCTCTCTCTCTCTCTCTCTCTCTCTCTCAAGTCTGATATATCAACTCTAGTTTTGTTTGGTACAATTTCCAAAGCCTAGGCCCTATACTCCTTACAACATATTACTATTATAGTATATATTAACTCAGACCAATCCAATCCAATACAATTCCAATTACCGCCTCTCTTTATTTTAATTAATTTATCTCCCTCTCACAAATTAATTAATTGAATTGAATAATTTCCATTTCCACCATTGTTGTCTTTGATTCCCAATGTGGTAGGGGCATTTTCGTCATTTAATGCATGGGCAGGCCTACGATCTCAGCCAGCCTCCCTCCATGTTTTCAGAGATGTTTTAGCACCAAAAACTATACGCATGCAGTGCACCATTACTCATTACTACTTCAAATCCCATCTCTCTTTCTCTCTCCTCTCTTTTCTTGTTTGACTCTTTGTTTATCTCTTTCTCTCTTATAAGTATGTATGTATACTCACAAGGCCAGGCAGAGGCAGAAGCAGAAGCAGGAGCAGGACTGTCTCAACTGCTTTCTATATAATACCCCTCCTTCACTACTCCTCCCACAAAATCACAATGGTAAGTAATAAATATTATATATCATATTATTTAATTTATATTTTGTATCTGTCACTGTCTTTTGATATTCCGTTGTTCCAATGTTCTTGATGCCAATCATTTCCCACTTATATTATTTTTTTTATCCAATCCTATATATTAAATTTTTTTATTGATATTTTAATATATTTGACAATTTAAGTTACTATATAAATATATGTAATTGATTTTTATCTTGTAAATAGGTTTATGCAGCCCATGGTACACATCAGCCAAAAGCATAGAGCCAGGGTTTTATCAGCATTACCCAAATGTACAACTGTCTACAGCAGCAGGTAATTTGAAGGGGGAAAGGTACAACAGGTTGATGCATGGAAGCCAAAATGTGGGCAAAGAAACACTGGATTTATTCCCACTTCACCCCACTGGAATTCTGCAAGCCAAAAGTGGGGTTATTGAGAGTGAGGGTAGTATTGGAAATGACAAGAAGAACAAATTTGCTACTACAACTGCTTCTCAAAATGACAACAAGAAAGCTGGCAATGCTCATCACTTTTTTGATTTTTTCTGCAGAAATTGAAGAAAAAAAATTATAAAGACAAAGAAAAGGTCTTTCTTTTATTTCAGAAAAAAGAAATTATTAAGCACTGAATTTTAGGTTTTTTATTTTCTCATCAGAAGGGACTGACAGGATCTTTGATTGCTAGGTGGAGATTGAATTTTCATGTTGACTGAAGATTTGAGGATTGATTTCAATTTATTTTTCTTTTTAATTTCAAAGAAAAACAAAAAAAAAATTGGTTGCTGTTTTTGGGGCTTTGAGAAGGGGACTGACACAAAAGGTTGCTTTTTTTCTGTTTTGGGCATAGGCAAAAATGGTTTGTTTTAAGTGTTTGTAGAGATGACTGGCTGATGAAGACTTGCTTGTTTGTTATTTCCAATGTTATCTGAAGATTGTGTACGACGGATATTTCTTTAAGTGCATCCTTGTCTGTTGCTTATTGGACTTAATCATGATAATGGTGCTATTTATCAAGAAAAGCTAGTTATCAACACATTTGCTCAAGAACCGAATTATTATAAGATTAAGTAATATAAAAAAGAATAATCATAAGTAACAATCATAATTAGACTCGCTTTTTCTCTCCGCTCCTCTCCGTCGAAAATTCTCTCGGCCTTCAAACTAATCGCTCCGTTTTGACCTCTTTCGGCGACGGCGACGCCGTCTCTGCGGCCGTCGCTGGCCGCCCATCTTCCCTTGCCGACGATTTTCCTTGATCTGTAGCCATAGCAACCTCTCTCGTCTCTCGTCTGGTGGTGGGTGGAGAACAGCGGCGGTTCCGATCGTCATCCGGCGGTGTCTGAGTTGCTGCTTGTTGCGATTGGGAGTGTCGGTAAGTTCTCTCTCTCTCTTGCTCTGGTTTAGGCTGGAGGAATTGGTTTTTGGAGAGTTTGGGGGTTAGGGTTCAATTGGGGCTCCGAGACTTCTCCGATGGGGTCGTCTGAATGGGCTTGATTTGGCCCGTTTGGGTTTAGTGGTTCCGAGTATTGGTGTGGGATTGGGTCGATTAGCTGGGGTTCGGCTCCGGCTGGGTAGTGGCAGAGGTGGCGAGAGGGTGTTTGTTTGGCTGGGGCTGTGGATGATGGTCGACGGTGGTTGGGTGGGGCTTTGGTGGCTGCTGTGTGTGTCAAGTGGTAGTCGCCGGAGTTGGAGTTCGGGCAGGTAGCCGCTATCTTGGTGCAGCTCATTTTGGGTTGTGTGGGATCCGGTATTCTCGGCCAGGGCTAGTGGTGTTAGCCTTATTCGGGTTGCTGGTTGGGGTGGCTGGGCCTGTTCTCCTCGGTCTGTGGGTGCTGTCCGTTGGTTGGGTTCGGGGGCGGGGCCCTGCCTCTTGTTAGGCCTGCGGCAGTTTCGGGGGCTCGGGCTTGGCTAGGGACCTTTCCTGTGGTCAGTTGTAGCTGCTTCTTCGGCTTAGTTGTCTCTCCGGGAGAGGGTCGGTTTTATTTTATTTTGTTTAGTGTGTTCGTCATGTGTATTACTTTTGGTTTGTTTGTCGTTTTCTTTGTTCTGTGTGTTTGGTTGTCTTTGTTTTGGAAATGAATACAGGCTAGGCATTGTGCAGTGGCTCTGTTATTTATTCTCCTTTATTTTCG